CCCCACCAGTCCCTGCGGGCTTATTGCGAGTCTTGCGGGGTTTGTGGTCCTGTGGGGGCCCCCAAGACCCACCACCTCCTCTGCACCAGGAGGGGGGCCAGGAGATGGGAGATGGGTAGCACGGAGTGTCAGTGGAGAGAGGGGTGTGCCACAGGGTAAACGGGGCTTTGGGGTGGGCAGAGCATGAGGCTGGCAGTGGGAAACATTCCTGACTCTGCCACCCACCCGTGTTGGTGGTGCAGAGGGACCACAGATGGAAGGAGCTGCGCGGCGAGGAAGGACGGAAGCAGGCTGACGGGGAGAGGAATCTTTTTTAAAAAGTTTTTGGCTTAAATAACTGTGGTTTTCCTCTAAATTGTGATGAGCAGGGGTCAGAAACCCTGCAAGGTGGAGCTGTCGCTTGATGGGCCTTTCCACCCGTGTTTAGTGTTTTCCATCTCGTTTCTCTCCTCTGTTTCCCTTAGCAACGGAAATAACAAACTTTACCATCAGAAAAGGTTTGCGGAGTATCTTTGCGTTGATGTTCTGCGTTAGTCACAGTCCTGCAGGTACAGCTGCCGGGTTTCGCTTTCCCACAGTGTCCCCTACTGCTTGCAGTAAAAAATCCATTTAGGTACACATTAAAGAAGGAGGGGAGAAAAAAATCTTAATGGAATTATAAGGCACAGAAAGTCACCAGAAGGGAAAATACTTTTTATGGAGCCTCAGCAAGAATCCCTGCAAAGAGCATGAGACGCATGGATTCCCAGAAGGGAGTAAATGCAGAGTTAAGTTCTGCCACTGCAGCTGGGGCTGCGGCTCCTGAGAGCCCTTCCAGGGGCTGGCATTAAGGGAATGGCATAGGTACAGGATGTGAAGAGCACAGGTCAGGTGAAAGGAAATCAAGAGGGTGCAAGAGGAAGGAATGGGGGAATAGAGAAGTCACTTTCTTGTTTCCTCTCACCACAACAAGGGGTAGCAACCTGTTTTGAAATGATGGGTGGATCATCATTTCAAAATGTGCCGTTACCATTCCCCTGTGGAACTTGCTGCTGAAAGGATTAAAATCAAGTGTTTGGGGGGCAGAATAGGCAAGAGCACCTCCAGCTACGGTAGATACATGTGAAGTCCAAGAGATCTGTGATCCAGGGTAGAGGAGGAGCCGTAGCTGATGGATGCTGGGGAGAACGGTGGGTGGTGGGTGCCCCATACGCAGGGAAGGGCTCGGTGTGTGCTACACCTCTCCAGGACTGGTGATGCATCGGGCTTTCCTGGTAGCACCAGTTGTAGGCTTCTCCCAGGCACTGGGACAAAGCAGTGCCATGGGCTCATCAGGGATGCTGGACTGGCAGAAACGTCCCCGCAGGCATCACGCCTTGAGCAGAGACTGCTGTCGGGGCCGGGTGAAGGTGGAGATGTTTCCCTGTCCCTCCTCTGGTCTCTGATCAGCTGAGCTGTGGCTGCTGGCTGGGGCCGTGGCCTTCACCCCGCTCAGCTGCCATGTGCACGCCTTGGGGATGTGTGACGTGGGGGCTGTTACTTTGCAGTTGGGACAGGCCAGGAGAGGACACGTTCCCGTGTCAGCTCAGCTAATGAGCAGCTCATTAATCCTTTGCCACTTGCACACCCTCCGTTGTGTCCATACCCTCAGGAGTGATTTCCAGATGAGATGAGCTCAGGGAAGATCTCCTTGTTCCCCGCAGATTCCAGAGGGTCTTGGTCTGGACCTCAAGGTGTTGGATCCTGTGGGACCTGTTCCCTGCAACACCAGGAAATTCATCATTGGCTAACCGAATAGGTTGTAATCTCTCCCCAGAGCACGCAGAAGTCATTCATGGTAATAACACTCCACGACGAGCCCAGCAGTGCCTAACATTTATGTTTCTTATTCCTTCCCCAAGACCTACGAGCAGAATGAATGGATCATCCACTTGGCTGGGAAGCTGCTGGCCCAGGAAGAGGCAACCTTGTCCTTGATGGCAACGAACCCGTTTGCTGGCAGAGCACCCCCACGGTAAGCTCTGAGTTTTGCCGAGGGAGCTGGAAGTACCTGGGCTCCGTGTCATTCCTGTCTTGGACATGCACACGCGCTTTCTGTTGATGGATGGGGGTTTGAGTTTGGTGGTACCCAGGTGGTCTTTAACGAGGGTGGGCTTGAGGACATCGTGAGCGCTGGTGCTCTCAGCACCTCGATGCCTCCTGGGTGGGACACAAGGACCCTTTGGTTGAGCCCATTCCCAGGCGGGTCTGTTGGGCTGGGCGTTGCTTCTCTTGGACACAAATCGTGGCAGCTGAAGTGGTTTCCTGCCTGTCAGCCTTAGATTTTTTGCCATGATCGCTTCATGAGCTCAGATCAAAACCACCATTTCTACCGGCCTACTGAGGCATTCCAAAGACAAAAAAGAGTCCTGGAAAAATGATTGGGTTTGTGGACACTTGTCTTGGAAGTGTTTGTGTTTTCAGTGAAGAGACAAAGCAAACATCAGCGAGCGAAAGGCACAGATGGAAACCCCAAGGTTTCCGACAAAAGGACATTTTTTCACAAAAGTGTCTGTTTTGTTGACAAAGTTATTTTTAGCTGAGAAAACATTTTAAGGGAATTTTGGATCAACTCAAGTAATATTAGGCTCTTGCTAATATTTTCCATTTGAGGCTCTTAAGATGCACTGCAAACAAGGATGAAGGTTGACGGCACTGTGAGGAATGAACTTCCTCTTGAACCCTGCTGATGGGTTTCAGCTTTAGCGCAGCGCATCCCCCAAACTTTCTGAGGAGAGACTCATTTTCCACCTAAGACACAAACAACTTCCACCTTTTACCAACGCGCTTCCTCAGAGATGGTTTACACATCCCAAGATGGTATAAACGTATAAACCTGAAACGGTTTATACTCTGAGCTGAATGTATGCCTGTGTATACTCTGCAGAAAAGCAGAGCAGAAGCACAGCTTGGGATGCAACTGCTGAGGGAGCTTCCCACCATCATATCTGAGTATTTCTATATGTTTTTGGGGTCTCCCAGGCATCCTGCCCTATCATAGCGCACAGGCACCTTCTCAGAGCATCGGTACAGGCCAATGGAAATGTACAACCTCCAGGTATGAGGGCCAAGACCACTGTAAGAACAGTTATTTCGGGTTTTTTGCGCATATTCCCACTTGAGAACCTGTTTTCCTGTCGGCACAGCATCACAGGGCGAACCAGCAGGCGCTTATGGCACGCGGGGCAGGAGCCTGCCCACAGCCTGGAGCCGCGGAGCTGCACCGGAGCTCCCAGGAACGGCGGTGTACAGTTCAGGGCACGTTACAAGGGGGTGTCACAGCTTGTTGGGTCGCACAAGCAGTGGATCTGTTACACACAAGTAATGACGCCTTGGCTCTGGTCCAGGAGGGCTCTGGGGAACCTCCATTAATTATTGCGACGAGGCATGCTGGGCTAGACCAGCACGGCCCTTGCCACAGACAGAAACAGCTTTAATAACGTGTGGGGAGGGGTTTTAGTTCTGATTAGCTGTGTTGGGGTTGGCTTTCCATGCGAGCAGCAGCGCGCTGATGCCGTGTGATCAGCTGGTGTGGCTCGATGGCGTGGAGAGCAACATGCCATGACGCGTGAAACATGCTTGCTATGGGTTGTGTTCCCATTTTGGCCTTTTTCTCTTTGTTTTTGTGGATCTCTGTTTAACTGCATGTGTGTTTATCAGCCAAAGTAGTCTGTGGCTTGTGACAGCAAACTGGACATCCCCGCTGCTCCCTGCCACCTCCTTATTGGGGGCTGCTCAAAAGACCCCATGGACGTGGCACCTTTCTGATGGCCGGGGAAGGGGCATCCCCAGCATCTGTGCAAAGGCCCATGTGTAAAGGGCGATGGGCACCTCGTTAGGGAGCTAACGAATGCCAGAGCTTACAGCGGGCAGAAATTCAGCCCAGTGAGGGGATTCACCCACCGGGACCTGGCAGGAGCTGCGTCCTTCGGGAGTTTGTCATGGAGGTGGTGTTGGTTTGCAAGGCTGAGCTGGAAGAGTGACCGAAGAACCTACCCTGTGCTAGGTCCGTCTCGGGTGGATTTATCAACCGAGTCTCACCCAACTTGGCTCGTTGTCCCTGAGGTTGAAGTACCATAAATACACCGAGCAGCATTCATGGTGGGGCATTCCCTTGGATTGGGTTTGTTCAGACTGGAGAAGGGAAGGCTCCAGGGAGACCTTAGAGCCCCTTCCAATGCCTGGGGGGGCTACAAGAAAGCTGGGGGGGACTTTTCCCAAGGGCAGGGAGTGACAGGACGAGGGGGAAT